TTTTTATCAAACTAAGGAACTGACAACCCTTAATTAAAAACCTTATTCCTTATGCATTATTGAATATTCCTTATTTTGTCTAACAGGCTTTTAAAAACTAAAACAATTGTTTCACAGTAAAAAAGTGTTCTCACAGCAAGAGTATCTTTTAGGATACTCTTCATCAACAACCTCAAAGACTTCGAGACCAAAAGACTGATCCTTGTTAAAGAGATTAGCACTATCTGAAAAAGGGACTTATTAAATCACGGCAAAGGTATATGAAGAGATTAAATGTTAATTTTAGCATGGCTGAAGGGCAGAACAGATATGGCCCACAAAGAGGGAAATGCAAACACATGCAGCAAAACCCATCCATGCTGGCAATGGGCATTTGATTTGCATCATCCTGCAAATTCTTGGGATGAGCAAGACCAGCATCCTTGTTCAGGCATATGAAAGGATGCTTGAAGTTATGAGGTACTAAGGCTTTCGTTATGCTAAGGGTTTCGTTAGCATTTGCAAAGCACCAAGCAACAGAAGTTTTGCTGCTCCTGTTCCTTGGTTTTCTAATACTGACATTACAAGCATTTTCCTTGCTGCACTGTAAGGGCGATTTATTACAACCAACCAACATAAATTATCTGCTACTCTTGAAAATATGAATGGAAGGGAGGTACATTAAACAGCTTAAAACATATATTAACAAATCTGCACGCAAACGCATAGAGGCAATATAACTTAGATTATACTGGTCTATCCAATACAAAACGGATATAAGTCTTCCTTCTAAAAATCAAATTGTCTTCCTCCTTCTTTTAGTCCTCCTCTGTAGACAGTAAAGTGCCAGCAGGCTGCTGTTGCCATAGATACTTGCTGTACTCAGAGTATCACTGTCTATGTCCTCTTGCTTCTCACTCCTCTCTGAGGCTTGCGTGTGCTCTGCTTCCCTTTTGGCTGTAAAAGCTGTTCTTTCCCTGGAGAAACTGCTTTCCCTAAGTCTTCCAAAGAGGGTTCCTTTCCTTCTCCTGCGCTCAAGCTCAAGGTCTGCCTTTTCACTCGCCTGCTTGCTTTCTCCCTTTTCACACACGTCAGAACTGTCTCTTGCCTTGACAATCATCTCCTGAATTTTCTTTTGCAAATAAGCCCCACCTATTCCGTAGCTGCGCTGCCCGCTGTTCTTGTTGCTGGCTTCACTGGCAAGGGACGAGGAAGACCCAGACAGATTCATCTGACTGCAGTTATCAGCCCTCTGGATGTTTCCAACTGCAACAAAGTGCACACATGCAGATCTTGATAAATACCACAAGACAAGTAACAGTAAAAATAAAATGTGGATTTTAAAACTTTTTTCTTCACTCATTAACTGCGTGTAGGTTTAGTAAAATGTGTTCATGCCTGAAACTACCTATTTCAGCTATCTGTGAAGCACGTAATTTTAGGTTAATGAGTTGTTAGCACTATGCAACAACAGGATACTGATTACCTTAATGAAATTAGATCCGTGCTAAAGAACACTAAAAGCAGCCAGTTGAATTAATGAAATAACCCACAAAGAAATAAAATATTGTTTTCTTAGAACCAGATAAAATTCAACAAAAATAATTTGTTCGCATAAATAAATAAAATACAAGAGCAGTGATTCTTCAAAATCTCAGTGGACCTAGTTTCAGCAATCCGAGTTATCTTTTTCTTTATACATATGCTGTGGCTAAGTAAAATAAGTGGAAAGAGAGAAGGAAAGAGCATTCTGCTAAAGGAAGGAGCGTCTTGTGAGGGCAGAGGTGGATTCCCGTGAGCCCTGGCAAGCTGGATCTCCCTGGGCGAGGTGGGAAAGGCAGTCAGTGGCCATGCTGTGCCATGCCAGCCTGGTGGCTCGGGGCCTCAGTGGGTTGGAGAGCAGCAGAGGAGGCAGAAACACCTTACACTGTCCAACAGGGAGCACACGGGCTGACTACAGAGCAGAGTTAAGAGATTTCACATGAATTCCCATCCGAGCGTGGCTAACGCTGAAATGATGCTGGTCTTTCAAGATGAATGTATCAAAAATAAAGGGATTCTCAGGGCATCATGATAGACAGGGACGTATACAGAGCCCTGCACACAAGAACAAGAAGTGTCAGTAGGAGCTGCAGAGTTTGGAAGGATGTGTTACCCTGTACCTATCCACACTGCTCTGCAGAACTCACACTATTCTGCGAGTTCTTCAAAACTCAGTATTCTGTGAGTATTCTTCAAATCTGAGTGGACCTAGTTTCAACACTCACAGTATTCTGAGAGTTCTAGGCTAGAGAACGTAAATACTTTGGAAAACAATGTTGAGCAGCAAGTCATAGAAAGTCATGACGCTTCTTGACATTGGAAGGCTCCAAAGTGTTATTTTCCCAGAGTACATTTAATTACACCAAATATTTGTGCATCTGCACACACTGCTTTGGCAGGGCGCAGACGGAAAGCCCCTCCAAGCAGGGGGCTGTGGCTCACATACCTTTGCGGGGAGAGCCCTGAGGAGAAGCAGGTGGGCTGGAGTGCAAGGAAGATGCCATGGACAGAGTGTCATCTGTTTGCTTCTTGGTACTTACTTCCTCAGACAAACTTAAGGACTTCTGCGGGGAGCCTGTGCCTGTGAAAACAGCAGAATCATTTACCACACATTCTTCTTTCAAGTTAAGTGGCCACTGATACTGCATTGCTCAGGGGTATCTGAAACGTGCTGGAACATCCAGGTCACAACTGGAACAATTACAATGGAAACACTGGTCAGTGTCTTGGTAAAAGGTTAAAAACTGCATGAAACTTGGAGGAAGTCCTCACCCATGAAACTGCTGGGGCAGTGTTAAAAAAAAGCTAGTTGCATCAAAGAAAATTAAAGCTCAAGAGAAGAGTATCTACTGAATCAGGAGTGGTCAGATCGCTACTTGCATCAAAGAAAATTAAAGCTCGAGAAGATTATCTACTGAATCAGGAGTGGTCAGATCAGTACCTAAGGGCATTACATAGCACATAGCAAAATTCGCAAAAGCTGTATACCACTGTATTTAGCAGAGCTCTTCATTTATTACTTCTTGTTCACTATTGGAGCATATTGCATATGCCTGGTAAATAATTCATCTGAGCTCCTGATAAGTCAGTTAGATTAATACTTAAAGACAGGAAAGAACAAACAGCTCTCAGCAGGAGCATCAGAAATAAAACTCCTGGAACGTATCAAGTTGCAGAAACTTTTGACAGGAGATTTGAGCTAAATCGCAAGACTTTTTCAGCTGCAAACATAATGTATATGCTGCAACACTGTGTTTTCTGAAACTATTTTAGAGGATATTGATGCTTGATGTATCACAGAATCATTTCGTATCATTTATTAACTGCAATTAACCTTATAGCATTTAAGACTCCTGTGGCTTTCAAACAATACAGCAGTAGTGCAAATAGGTCAAAGACATATTAATACTAAATACTGCTTTGCAACTGATAAATTTAGGGAAAAAAATATGATGCTCACTGGGAGCAGCATATTTGCACATATGCTGCTCCAATTTGACAATAATGTTGTTACAATGATATTAAAGCTTAAAGCATTAGATGACTGGGATTTGTTTGAAGTATTTCATTATTATATGTTATACTTCATTTTGTCGTGAACATATGTAAGCACTATTAATCTGCTCTATCTGTGCAAGATCCATTTAGAATGCAGAAATATGCAGCACAGGCTTAACGGTGCGTGCCTGACCTGTTCAAAACGTGGGTAACAGAGTCACTTCAGCTACACCCGCTCAGGAAAAAGGAACTGTCTGCAACTTTCCAGGTGTAGACCAGAAACCACTGTCACAGCAAGTGGCAGGTTACAATTAATGGCCTATGGCACAGAGGCAAGAAAGTATTTACAGACAGCACCTTGCAATTGACAACAGGTATTAAATATCTGTCGTGCAAACACCAGGGCAAACTACTCCTGAAATACACTAATGTGATTCACCTATTTTTCAGTGAGAAGGTGCATGAAGCCTTGAACTGTGCAGCTAACTGTGAGGCCTGCAAAACAGCATCTCCAATGAAGTGCCCAGCTCCTCTCCCTGATCTATTTGGCTCTCGAGGCCGAGCTGCAGGTACTCACTGAACGTGACGTGCTCCTTCGTCAGTCCCTTCTTCCGGCTGGGGTATAAATTCACGGACGGAACCTGCAGCACTTGGCTCATTCTGTTCTGCTGATGCTGATGGGCTTTAGTGCTTTGGCCAATTGATCTCATAGGTACTGGAGACATTTCTGAGGATTTTGCCCCTCTTCTCTCACTTAAATTCTTTGTCACTGCAATGGAAAAATATAAATATCAATACAAGTTACAGCAGTATTACTATCATTCTAAGCACAATCACTGAGACAGCAGATGAAACACTCAAAGCATCTTCTATTCCAGACATTCCTATCTTGTTATGCTGAAGAAATCACATGATTTATTTCCACCACAATTTAATTCCATACTCTGTATCCTATGAGCAAACACCTAAAGATGTAACAGTATCTCTTTCAGAAATACATAATACTACATAAGGGAAGAGAGATGCTTGTTTTGCAGCTGGCAAGCCTTTCACTAGATGGCACAATTGACTTCCAACAGGACATTTCTGAATTTCTGCTTCATTTGCAGAGCAATTAATAAACTGTTTGTAGAGGTGAGGCCATCCAACTTCTCCTCAAATTACTGTGGAAATACCTGGATTACTGAATGTCTATTACTTGGTCTTCAAGCAAAGTTAGGATAATCTTGGTACTGAGATAAGAACCTCCTACTTCCTCCTACGAATATGAGCAAAAGAAAAAGAATTTTCTTCATAAAAGGGTCTAGAAAGCCATGTACCAAGCTCCCTGATTCAACTGAGTGCAAAGGAGGCCCCGTCCCCTGGGCAGCCTGAGCTGTGACCCCAGCGGAGCAGAGGCTGGTGCTTTCCCTGCTCTGACCATCCCTATCAGTTCTACCAGCGCAGCAAACCCAGAGCTCTCAGTTCAGCAAAACTGACCAACCAGATCAGCTCCACACTCCACACGTCATCTAAAAACAAAGTCTTGAAAAAAAGTATTTTAACATTTAACTGTAACATTTTAACATAAAAAAGCCACCTTGGGAAATAATACCAATTCACAGTCTTAAAATTTATCTTCAGATTGTCGCTTCCTACTTGGCCTTTTACTTCATCTCCTTAATGGAGAGAAACGGTCTTTGAGAACAACAAAGAAAATGCAGTATGCTGCATTTGGCCAAGAGACGAGCAAGAAATGCTATTTTCCTAGCAAGATTAGTACTTTTTTCTTTTGAAACAGTCCTAACTTTCAAGCAAGTTTCTCATTATCAAAATCACATGCAACTACAAGTTTTTATTTTTAAGCAGGAATTTGCAGAACTGTGTGAAACAGAAGATACAGCTCCTAGGATGCTGTGTTTGCTCAGGCAGCTTCACAGGAGCTCAATTTATGAAAAAATGTCCTGTTGCAGCCCTCGATTTTGGGTTCTCAAGCCACGCCAACCCCATCTGTCAGAACTGGCCTGACTTCTCCTTCTTATCCATTTTTTATCCTAAGCTGTACTCCACCACACTTTCTATATTGATTTTGTCTTTTCATTTTCTTGCTGTTCATATGGTAAACGTTACTTTTATCCTTCCTAATTCCATACAAGGACAGAGGGGCAAGAATAGATCTAATGTACTATTGAATTTCCTTCCAGACTGATGAAAAGACACACAGTTTAAGAACTAAAGGTCAACCCCCCCACCCTACAACCCTCAGTCCAAAGTTCTGTGAGCTCAGCCAAGATCAGAGGATAAATGCTGGCTTGCTGAAACTGTATTACTTAGTCTGTTAGTACATGAATTGACAAACAAGCTTCTTACTACAGTATTTTTTGCTGGAGAAGAGAAAGTCCTTAATTAAATATGTATTTCAAAGGAAGGACTTTCAACAACTGTGTGGATCGTGCCACCCTAAGAGACCACCGTACTCACAAGTGCTATATGCAGGCTCACACTGAAGCGACAGTATTTGGATCTTTTCCTCATCCGTTTCCACGTTGAGGTTGGACAAGTACTGCTTCACCTTCCTGGCCATCTGGGCATCCTCGTAGAGCTTCTTGGCGTTGAGGAGCGAGCTGCGCCGGGCCCGTTTCTTGTGGGCACCTCCCTGCACGTCAAGCATGTTGGAGTTCGTACTGCCCTGGCTCAGGGACCTGCAAAAGAAAAGAGCAGATAAGTTGATTTGGGGTTCTCAGCAATGAGGAGCAAAAGTAGCGTATGCTGAAGCAGATTAATACCAAAACTCTTCAGTTAGGGCTAGTACATGCTGATGCAAATGAGTTAAGAAGATGAACAGCATTAAAACAAGATTTGTTTTAAAATATTCTGGTAAAACGGAGAGCAGCATTTTGAGTCTAGGCAAGAATTGCTCATGAAAGTGCAGAACTAGCAAGAAGGAGGCACAGTGCTACATAAACTGCCCCCACCTAGCCCTGTTCGTCTCGTTGTGCAAAACCCAAACTATTATTTCCACTGCAGACTGCAACTGCAGACCTGCTCCCTAACACTGGGCCTGTCTGTTAAGCACTTTGTGACTGGTATCAGAGCAGAACTTCTTGCAGTTCCACTGACCACAGAAGGCAGCAACCAGCATAATCCTCTTGGGATACTGAGCTTCTCACAGTGGTCAAGCAAAAGAAGAGCCTGTCTTAAATATGCAAAGTGTGTTTTATTACACACTTAATTCCCTTCTCCGATTAACTAACAAAGGAGATTAATTACTCATGAAGTGTCCCAAGCATAGGTCATAGAGACAGTGACAACATACATCACATATGCTCAGATTTGAACAGATTTGTGCTCATGAAAGAATATGGCCAGCACTTCTGAATCCTCCTACTTGAAACTGCCAGTTCTACCAGCAACTGAACCAAAAACAGGCAAAGCAATTTGTTTAACTTATATTAAATACTATGCAGCACAGTCCTTTTTATTCTTCTTCATTCTAGTGCTCAGTCAGGGACCAAAGGACTGATCATGATATAGCTCAAATATACCCATCTCCATTTTGACTGTCAAGTCACTACAGATGCACTGGTTCTAATCAATATTTATTTTTTTGATAAATGAAATACTTAAGTAAATTCTGATGGAAAATTATTTTGAGCTTTCTGTAAACATTCAAAGGAATCAATTTTTAAAAGTTAAATTCTGCATAAGAGTATTTATCAAGATCAAACATTAAGACCAAGGGGTGGAAAAGAGCTAACTGTCATATTATAAAGTTTAAATGAAGTCAAAAAAAGAAAAAAAAAAAAAAAGAGAGAAAAAAACACTTAGTGCAGCAGAATTGTATAGCTTACAAATAAAAGCTAATGCTGTTACACGTAAAGAGCAGCATATGGCAGTATGGACGGCTCGGCCCCTCCTCAAACAGCAGGGCCTCGTGGTGCTACGGATAAGCACAAAGCTAATAGCTAGTATATAGGAATGGGGATATTGCACTGTACGGACCCTGCAGACACCCTGGAGCTGGGCTGCCTCCCAGCACACGCCTGCAGGACCCAAACAAGCCGAGGTTGGAAGCGCAAAGGCAGGCGGGCTCAGGTACACACAGGACAGTCGTTGGGCAAAACCACAAATACACATTAAATACGTGTATTAAATATGCAATATGTGTATTAAATATACAAAAACACATTGAATATGGCTTCGTGTCAGCTAGTCACTGTCACTGCACGGTATCGGTGAGCAGCTGCACTAGCCCATCCCATCACGCTCATCCGTGGTCATTCGGACCCTCAGTCCCTGTGGAATTAAAATCCCAGGGAAATCAGTGAAGAGTTCAGTGTGCGCATACTGGGTTACACTTTTCAGACACACATTAGAAAGGAAATTATTTGTTTCCAGAAACGGTCTGTCTTCCAGTATAACTGGGCATCAGTTTATTTTATGAAGCCAAAACATAAACAGCTCATCTGACACAGAAAAGCAACTCAAAAATCTTTACAGCTGCAGTACGAAGTTGACTGTAAACCACTTATTCCTGTTTTTCAAAAAAAATATGTATTGCAGGGTTAATAAAATGCATGCTATATTTCAGGTGCATGCACTAAAAAGGAGGATGCAGTATGTTAAGAGTTGCATAATCTGTATTTATCTTAGTTGCATTCATCTCTACACTTACCCCAAACTTCTCCACCTCTTCTTCCTGTAAGCAAGAGCCATATACATTGAAGCATGTATTTGAACAGAAAAGCACAGGAAAAAATAAAACAGTTGAGAGTCAGGAAGAAAGATGTAGACAGGAAAGAACAGAAAAGAAAATTTTCTATACGGCAAAATTCTTCTCAAACAACAACACGATGCTTTAATGGAACGCAAGGGCAGGACTCACTACAGTACTTTGACATGGAGGAACATCTATCAGTTTGTTTTTTTCCCTTCAAGTTCAACCTATACATTTACAAACCAAAATAATTTTTAATTTTCTTGTTAATTATTTCACATAAGTCAAACTTGACTTTGATGGAGCGAAAGTTTAACTTCTTCACATTGCAAAAGATATAATTAATTTATCCTATGCATTAGGTCACAGTACATGTCTGAGATCATCATCAATGTTCAAGTTTACGATTTTTTTCCTCTTGATTGCTTGCCAGAAAACAAGTCATTTGCTAAAAATACACTGAAAAACTGGATGCCCTATATTAATTGGTAATGAACTTGTTAGCAAGTCTCATGTCGCCACTAAAATGTCTTTTCTTGTTCATTTTTAGTCTTCTTCAAAGAAGATTTTATTGGGAGCTTGTCGCACACAAACTGATAGATCAAACACCAGAGGCAATGAAAATGAATATAAATGTGAAAACACAGAATGATTTTCTTTTAATCTTTGGCACTAGTGCTAATATTAGCTAAGTATTTTACGTCAGCACGTACACTTTGGGCTGATGTGGTCATTAAAATGTGATCTGTAATTCTGAAAAACATACTAAAGGTAGGCTATTTATTTGGTATTCAATTCATTTAATGCTTGGAGCTCATTGGGTCTATAACAGTAAAGGGTATCAGGGAAATGTATTTACAGAAAGATTTCATCTGGTAATGTCACCATTTCTGAAAAACAATTAGGACTTAACTAACTTAATAGAATTATCAAATAATTAGCTTTATCGTTTTATATTAAACAGGGAATTTGCCAGGTCAAGTACAACAGTATCTCCACCTTGAAAGCTGTAAATGGTGTTTAAAGAAGGGCTCTGTGGTTTCCAGCTGTCTCTGCAGTGATGCAGAGCAGGACAGAGGTACCTGCTCCCCATAACGGGGCATCGAGGCCGCCGAGGGGCCGGTGTTTAAAGAAGAAGGGCTCCGTGGTTTCCAACTGACTCTGCAGCGATGCAGAGCAGGACAGGGGCACCTGCTCCCCGTAACGGGGCATCGAGGCCGCCGAGGGGCTCATGTCCAGCTCGGCCCCACAGCACCGACCCGGCGCAGGGATCGAGGGGCTCCAGCCCTTGGCAGAGCCCGCACAGGAGCCGATGCTCTCGCCTCAGCCCCAGCCCTCCAGGCTCACTAAGTAGGTGCGCTGAGTTGTGCTGGTCACGAATGAAGATAAAAATATAAAAATATTTTTGTGACTCTTTTCTGCATTACCAGAGATTGCTTTAAAAGCAGCATTTCCGATTGATACAAAGGTGGTTTAAGGATCTTTATGTATGATTTTCCTCCAGCCCTTACATCTCTCCTGAAACTCTGACACTAATGCAAAAATACGAAGCGTTTAAAGTTAAAGCCAGTTTTTCTTTGCCTTTTAAACCAGCAAATTGGTTTAGTAGTCATTAAAAGCGACTCTTAGAAGCACTGACGGTATTTCTGCAATTTGATAAGGACTTCGTTGTGAGGGTAAACGTTAATGGGAAGTTAGACGATGAACTATGAATGTGTTTTTGCACACACAACCCTGACCCTGCCCACGCCAGGCCCCTGCAGTGCCAGGGCCTTTGGCCTTTGCGCACCTTTGCCTGAACATCACGGCCGGGTCCATGTTGGCCGAGGTCATCCTGACCACCTGCCGGATTTCCTTGGCGATCATTCGGAGCTTCTCGAAATTCACCAGGCCATCCACCTTGGAATCATTCCCTGTAGAATTTAAACATGCACCAAAAAGAAATAAGAAATACATTTTTTTTTTAATTAATGCAATGTTACTACCCTCCACAGTAGCTTCCCTGCTGCTACACTGACACCCCCAAGACTGTTTTAATCAAAACAGGAGTAAATGAGCAAATGGCATCGTGATAAAATACAGGCACCGACCAGGCCCACTCATCTCTCCAGCTTTACCCTTGCTAATCTAGCAAGGGGAAGAAATAAGTGAACTCTGCCCAAATTCACCGTCACGGATGTTAGGGATAAGTATAGAACTGGTATCAATACCAGTCACATTCTGAAGTTAGTTCAAAGTTTTGAAATATCATATCCAAGAACTTGGTATATTTTAAAAACCATAATCTTAACCAATTGTGAGCAGAACTTTGTGGAAAAGAAAAAAAATGAAGCGTTTTTTTAAAAAAGCGAAAATGCTGAAAGCAGGAGTAGGAGGTGTTATATCATTGTGGCTCTCTGAAAGCCACAACATAGAACTAAGCTTAGAAATACTGTGGCTTCAAGGTTTTGCAGTAGAAATATATTTGAAGCAGCTTAATTCCTAGTTTGTGCACTCACCATTTCTACCTTCCATACCTTTGATGGAGATTAAACACTGCTTGCAAATTATCTAATATACACTTTTTTATGTTGTCTAGGATCAGTCTCTTCTATTATGCATTCAGGATTGTATTTCTTTCTACTCCTACAAAGGGCACAGCAAAAGCACCACACTGGTGGCAGCTTCCTTTTAGTCATTTGCTGGATCACGGAGTGCTAAAGCAAGGCCTTAAATAGACTCAGCACTTGGTTTATTATTTCTCTGTGCTTGACATTACCTTCGTGCAGAAATGTAATATCCTTCTTGACAACAGGGAAGAGGGGAATAATTGGAGGCTGCATGCTCTGACTGCTGAGGATGTTGCGGTATTTTGCCATGTTTCTAGACGGATCAAAAAGATCTTGAAGGTCTCTGAGGTGCTTTTCATACTTGCTTGGTAGCTTTTCCCACGTACCTCTGAGACGTGCGACTGGTGCTAGATTTAACCCACTGCAAAACAGATTTATTTCATTAGCGCCTGTTAAAGGGATCCCTGCATTTCATAAAGCGGGGCAGAGTTGTGTAGTGTTTTTATAGATGAAAAATAGTTTTCACAAGGTTAACTGCAAAGCTAGGTGAATGCCGGGCTGCATCACGATACACCACTGTTCACTCTTGTGAGCAAGCAAAAATGAGAAGCCTGCAGAGCATGACTGTTTCCTAGGCAAAATGCACTCATTTCAGGTTAGCCTGCCCGTGCGATCTGCCTGCAACACAGCAGCGATGCTCACCTAACTTACATCCCATCTAATTCCCATAAAAATCTATACTAAGGAGAAAAAACAGTGAAAAATTAATGAGTTAATTATCTAATTAGAGTAGCAAGTGAGAACAGTAAACAGAGATCATCACAAATATAAGTGAAAAGACTTAAGAACAACACGTTTAGAGTATTTGTAAACGAGTAACAGTAGACAGAAAATTAAAGTAATAAATATGCTAAATCTCATTATTGTATCATCAGTCTCATTAAGGCACTCAAAATGTAAAAATATACCCAGATTTAGCTGGATATAAATTAGACATTTATATATGACATTTATATATATATATATATGCATGAATATATGCAGCCTCCCTGTCATAATTTTTCACCAAGTCAGCTCAATGAAGTTTGCAAGGATTGCAAAGTTTTCTTGTAGCTGCAAAGTGCATTCTACTCCACAGCATGCACTAACAACCTGCAAGGACAAACCTACTTCCTGAAAAGCTCAGCGGATTCACAATGGGTAACACCTTCCGTTTGAGTTTGCAGAACTGTTTATAATTGCATTTTTTACAGTTAAGAAAACCTGGCTTTGACTGAGCATCTCCGGGAAGATAAACGAGCTATTTCGTACAAAAAGCCAAAAAACAAAACTACTGGAAAATACTTTACCTTATAACCGCAAACATGGAATTGAAATTCTTGCATTCTCGACAGTGGAGGGCAATTTTAATGAAATGCTTAATAATCTTCATTCTTTTGAGTTGGTTGGGCTCTGCTAAAATTTCCATGGCAACCCAGAATGTCTCTTGATTTATGACATCCTCAAACTGTTTTAGGCGAGCGTTCCCTGTTTTGGAGTCCAGCTTATAAAGGTCATCAATGTACTCCGTAGGCTCAATATTCCGAAATAATTCAAAGTCTCTCATGGAAAGCTGCGTGGCAACTTCAATGGTGCTAAGCTGCAGGAGGGAAATCTGGCTTTCCCTCAGTAACTCCTGAGCATCCTCATCCGAGCAGAGCGTCTCCGTCTCCATGTTGTTTTTCAGGTAGTACCTAAAGATCAATTGAATCACAACAAGACGTCAGGGACAGTGTTCTGAGGGCTGCAGAAGTTGAACCACACCAAGGAACTTGGTTGCTTTTGGCACCAGTGAGGAGCATAAACGAGAGCACTTCTGGGTGACAACCCGGAGCGGGAGGCAACGATAGAGGTAAGAACAGACAGCAAAACCCTGTACTTCAACATCAAATGCCATCATTAGCAAGTAAAAAACAGCTTTCCCTCATTTCAAAGCCATTTTGATCTTTTCTACCTCTCTGTTAATACTATTTTCTATATAGTGCTCTAATATGCAGTAGCTTTCACCTTCAAAAAAAGGTCAGTTACTTATCCATTTGTAAATTCAGCAGTGAAATACCAATTTAAGTATGCATTAGCTCTGAGAAATGTTTGAAATCCGTCGTTAATGTATTTCTCCATTTCTCATATAAATTTAGCATGGCATGTTAATATATACATGAAATACACAATATTCAGGAAATGAAAAGGTATCTGGAAAATTCATTTTCATGCTCTAGAGCAGATCACTTAAATACAGCAAAGCCTATTCCTCACAAATTCTCTTTGTTGCCTAGAAAAGAGAACTAAAGATTTTTTTCACTTAATAAACCTACCAGTATGGATCAGGTCATCAGATGAAATGAAAGGACTTAAATTTTCAGAAAACATTTGTAGCAGCTCACATAAAAGAATTTATCTCAGGTTAGTATCAGTTCATTGCAATATTGTATCATAGAGAAAGAAATTACTTGTATCTTTTAATCACAAAGTACATATGGAAACTCTCAGAAAAAATATATATATTTCCAAAAGCAAGCTCCTACATACATTATCCTGATCTGCTAAATTTTGTTGTCATCAAGTGAGCTTGGGGTAGGTTTGGAGAAGTTTATTTTAGAGTGGAAGGGAAACATAAGACAGGAAAGGAGAGAGGAGAGTGAGAAATAAATCATTGGATTTATTTGCCTATTCATCTAACATGCAGTTGTCCTCGCTCCCTCTCCGGAGCTGTGTGTAACCTCGGAATTCCCAGTAAATGCATCTTGCAGGAAACTCCCATTTGTGCACCCAGGGAGGAAGGCAGTTATTTATGAGCCTCCCAGAAATGCACTGCAAGAATCACTGTGCTCTGGGAAGGCTCCCTTGCTAATGTGTGGCTCAATACATGGATGTTTTCACAACTACAGGCATTTAGGAGAGAAGTCGGTTGTTACTCCAGCCCATTTAGCCATCCCTCCAGAGGTATATCCAAGCTCCTATCTCAATTTAGGAGGAATCGCTCCCCCAGTGCTTCTTTCTAAGGTTTCAATCCTAAAAGGCCAAGTCAAATAAATGCAAAACGTGATTAAAACCAGGGTGCATTTACCGCCCATTGAGCTGAATCCTGTCTGCGAGTTTGGAGAACTGGTCGGGAAGCCTCCGCTGCTTGATGACCCCCTCGGGGCTCACGGAGACCTCGCAGAGCGAGTAGGTGTCCGGGGCTCCCGTCAGGTTGAACTCGTGCACCGCGTGGCTCACCACCTCCTTGGCCGTAGTGTCCTTGCTGATTATAATGTAGCAACTTTGCTGATCTGCTTTGAAAACTCGGATTACTTGATCCGGAATATCTAAAACAACAGAAGAACGTCTTTAAAGTACGAAGTTACTTCTCTCAGAAAACACACAAGGTCATTTACTGCATGACTTGACAGCCGGAAAACAAAAAACAGCAAGCAAGACAAAAAAACATGCTGGACTTGATAAACACCTATAAATATTCATTAAAGTATCCAGTCTTTTCCCTCAGCTGCAAATGAAACAAGACGATTCTTTTCTCCCTCCGTTTTCACAACAGAGTTAACCCGAGTATTACACCCTGGCCATGATAGAAGCACAAGACATCCGTGCTACAGGCATGTCACTAGGATACCATCACATTATTATTTTGCACATTTTTGCTGCATTTTGCAGTTTTTGGAAGCACAGCTGCCTTTTGGCTGTGAGATCCGGAGGGATCTGGGGTGCCCGGCCGCTCCTCCATGTCCCCACATGGTGGCACGGGCCAGCACGGGGCACAGGGGCCTGTGGCCTGCACTGAGCCACCTGCCACCGCTGCCACTCGTGTCCCTGTCCCCAAGGGGCCGAGCTGCTGCCAGCACACAACTCTGCTGGTGTCCTCATTTATAACACATTTTATGGATAAAAATATGGTTTTACTCAGAAAACAGCTTTATCTGAGGCAGATTAGAGCAGATAATATATTCCCATGCATCAAACATGTTTACTTTACAGCTTGATGCTTGCGATAATTCACTTTGTTCCTATTATATAACGCTCGACTTTCAAAGCAACGTTGACTGGATGAAAAACAAGGTCAAAAGCACCTTGTTAATTAAAATTCAAGGGAAGGCAGTGGTTTTTGTTTGCTTGCTTATTCCCCCTCCCCGACGCCTGAAGACCAAGCCCAGGCAGGCCGGGAAGGCCGCACCAAGGAGCGATGCCGGACGTCAGCTCTCACGGAGCCTCCACCCGCAACGGCCCCTTTTGAGAGCCTAAAGCTCCTCAAAATCCTGTCTCCAAGGCCCACGTGTCCTTCGCTCCTGCATCAGAGCCACTCGCTTTCATGGCCAAAGCCTTAGCTGGGATGAGAGCCCTACATTCCTCCTGCTGTTACTAGGCCCAGCTTCAATAAGGGAGATGAGAAGTGCCACATCCGTCCATGGAGAACAGAACTCCCATGCCAGGGTGCCCACGGACTGCAGCAGGACACAGGGAGCCTTGGGGACAGGAGCAGCCAGGTCCCCATCTTCCCCAGGTGGAGCCAGCCCTGCTGCTAGACCATCTCCCTGCTCCTCTGCATGCCAAGGTGCCTGTGCTAGCAAAAATACTGTAGTGTGCAGCTGAAATGTATTTGAAATGGTGTTTTGCAGCCAAGATTTACTGCAACTTACGAGTGACAGATGATAGAAAATGTTCCCAGGACATGCCTGCATTTATAGTCTTTTTCTTTTAAACATGTAAACATTAATAAAAATTACTTCCCTAGTCATGATTTGCTGTGTGGCTGCAAAACAAAAGGTGGACGTTTCAAGACAGCATGCACAAAGTTTTAGTTAAGCACAGTCCAGTAGAAGAACAAACTAAACCTCAAACCCTCACCATCAAAAACAGCAGTTTCTGTAAAAGAGATATAAGCAACTTCACTCCCTTACAGCAAGGTCACTGAGTAGCAAAGTAACTTGCTGAAGAATATTCACTATGTCAAAAGCAGAAGTGGGAATCAAATGCAGGTCTTCTGGACCTCAGTGCAGCGCTGCCATGAGATTAGAGCAGCCACAAAGCAAGCCCACAGATGTATTTTGAGGGAATGTTTACAGGGCAATCACTTTGTAACGTCCTAACAGTGACAACTGTGCCAATGAAATGTATGAAAATATGTTAGGTTTAACAGGCAAGCCATGCAATATTAAAGTCTCCAGGATGCTATACATCAAGATACTTACAGTAAAACCCAACAGCTGCAGGCAGGAAAAAAGAAAAAAAAATGGTGTCAACACTAAATCCAGATTTAGATATTTATAAAACTTATTAAGAGTATGCAATACGCTGCCACGTCAAGAAGATTTTGATGTGCCAAATATGCCAAAAAGATGAGTGAACTTAACAGAGTAGAGGTAAGAAAGAGTAATTATTCACAGCTCATAATTATGCAGCAAACTGCAGAAATATTCAGGGAAGATTCTTAGAGACCATGTGTGTAGCTCTCATGCAGACAACAAGAAAACATATTTGCAGAAAAAAAGGAATTCATTTGTCATGAATATTTATGAATAAAACAGGATATACTTCTGCAGATCCCTTTTCAGGGAAAATATGCAAGTTTACATAAGGATAAGTCTTAGCCACAAGGCAGTTTACAGAATATATAATTATGCACAGAACTTGGAACAGAGAAACGTGATTCTGACTTGACATGTTTAGAGGCAGCTGCATATAACAAATACCTCCTGCAGCCACTCCATTAATGTTATTCCTACAGCAGCAGCAATGGAAAAACAAGACTATAAATCTAAGAACAGTTATTTTTTACAGAAAAATAACTGAAGAAACCTCATGTTTGTAATACAGGAGGCATTAACATTGTTACCTTGGTAGCAATAGTGGTCCTATGATGCCCACAATGCTGCTTGAAATATATATTTAAAGATGATGGGTGAAGAGTGAGAGAGAGGGTCATCAGGAGAACCAGTTTGGGGAAGCGATGATACAGTGAGAAAGGTACAGACACAGGCAACCCAGTTTCACTGGAGCTCTGGTAAACCCCAGTAATTGAAAGGCACTTTAGGTGCCAAGTTACTTTTTTATGTGAAATTACAGAAAAAGAGGCCAAAATAGTAGGTGAAAGTTTGGGCAGTTTATGCTTTTGGCAAGTCTCCAAGCTTGGAGCTTTTAAGGTCATGAGATAAATACATAACTTGCATTCAGTTCGTTTGCAGCTGGTAAAAAAATGCAATTTCCCTCCTGAAGCAGTTGCCTTATAATTACAGTCATCACATAAATCAAGCTCATGCAGCTGTTTTACCTGAAGGATTAGAGAAATCCAGAATGCTCGTCGTGGGCTGCAGCAGGTCCGGGCTGCTGGATGAGAGCGTGCCAGGAATGGGCATGATGGCCAGGCTGTGGCGGCACTGCCGCGTCCCCACGATGCTGTCGTCCTGCGACTGGCTCACGCTGCCGTCGCTGCAAAAGAGCCGCGTTCTGTTACGTGCGTCAAGCGCCTTACGCGCCCCTCGGGACGGGTGAAATGTGGAAACACAACAGCACTCGGGTGTTTTAATTACACATTGCACACAGGCTTTAAGAGCATTTAAGAGCATGGACAGCAGAAAAGCATTTGAAAGTGTTCACTAGGAGGAAAAACGTATTTTGGTGTGAAGATACTAAGCCATAATACAGCAGGGAGAAGAATTACTGTTTTACCAGGAGAGTCTGACATACCTGAACAGTTTTGGAGGCAAGATGCTGCACCGTGTCTTGTCTAAAATTTTCCTGATTCTGTTTCTCCCACCAGACACAGTGTTAGCTTTGATTTTCTTGTTTGCTTTTTCACGTGGAAACATCTGCTCCACATCTCCAGGCATATCTGGGATGGAGTAACGGTTGTTTTTCTTTTCTGCAATTTTGGGAATATGTGGGATCCCGTTCTTTTCTTGTCCTATCCTGCAAAGCAGTTCTTTGAACACTGTAAGAGAAGATGCAAACACAGTGATTTCCCTCCACACTGTCAAAACTTAACACTGCACTTTCCTCTTCCCAACTCTCTGCTTCCCCCATACCTCCAGAAAAAAAATAAGCCAGAAAGATGCAAACTAGGCAGCATGTTATGTTTTAATTTAGATTTTTATGGGCAGGGGTCTTCTCCCATGCAAAGTTTGTGCCATTAGGTTCATTGGCAGAAACTCTACATATTTAAGGAAAACAAATGTTCTACATAGTTGGGCTCTTCCAACTACTTTTAAAATTAATAAATTTTACAGCAAATCTAGTAGAGCTATGCTACCATTCACTCAGTGCAGTCAGTATTACATTAACATCAATCAGCTCAATGTATTTACTAAAAGTAATATTTATGTTATCTGAGTTTCTTTCTTGACTAAGATCCTTCTCAGCACAAATTCAAATATAAGAATGGGGATTGTTCACTGCCAACACCGGGTACTTAGCAGTCAGTTAAAAAGACATAATAGTAAACACTGCTGTTGAAAAAAACTCAGAGCGAATTCATTAAGATATATCTGAGAAATTGTCTTGAAATCATAACAATGAGCGGGAAAAGAGCTCACAATGCACTCATAAACGTAAATTGCTCATATTTATTAAGCAAAATGTGCGAACTATCACTGCCTCAGTTATAGCTTTGACTTGTGTTACTCCATATTAGTCTAGATTACCACTGTTTCAAATTTATTTGAAATTAGGATGTTAGGTTGTCATAATAAAACAACTGCCGAGATCTTGAAACATCTTGTCTTTGCCTAGCAACAAGCAGAAAATTGTAATTAAACAAAGAAAAAGTAACAGTGAACAAGGGCAGGTAACTGGAAGAGAATAAAAACACAAGACCATCAGAAGGGCTCAGATATAAGTAGAAAGAATCTATCTTGCAGACACAGCCCTGTTCTTTCTGTAGCTATGGTTATTTTCTTGCCTGAACAGGATTATGGATAAAGAGCAGATGGTTTGACTGAGATTTTAAAGAGGTATTTATGTGTTTATATTCACATTGACAATTAAAAGCCAACATTTATATATCATACCACTTTTTATATCCCACTTTCTATTTTAGATCTAAAGGCAATTTATCCTATCGTTCTCACAGCCATTATAAAAAGTTTTACGAAAGCCAGCTTTTACATTTTTGCAGTTTCTTGGCACACTGTTTTGGCCCCCATCCCTTGGCTCCGTTTCAGCCGTCTCGCATGAAGGGGCAGTAAAGCCGCTCACACGTTCCCGGGGGGATTTCTCCGGGAGCAGCGCGCTGGGCACGCTGGCGTCGCGCCACCAACGCGCAGGCCTTGGCACGCACGGATATATCCCAGCACACGGAGGCACAACTGGGGAATTCTGCACAATTTTCACTCCTAGGATAAGTTGAAAGGAAGCTGGTATCCCTAGGGCAGTTCTACGCTTAGAAAGATTGGATTCTTTTTTTCAACTTCATACATACAAAGTTATACATACACATACATGCACACACACATATAATATAAAGTCCACTCACCAAAAATGTTTGTTTTTACAGTAATGGAGAGATGTGTATTGTTCCTTAAGATTTCCAGAGCTTTTACAAACGTAATATTCTCAAAATTCTGTCCATTTACTTCCATTATCTTTTAGAAGAAATAAAAATGGAACTATTAGGAGGACAACTATTTATGAGAGATTTACAAATACTAATGTGATAGTACAGGTACAAGAAAGAACATGTCCAGAAATTATATCATCTTTGCAAGACCTGAGGCATAAAAGCATTCCTTGCAAAATAAATGTTTTGATCACCTTTATGAAATTATAACCTGTAGCTTGACATTCCTGCAATTAGGAATTGCACCTTAATCAAAACTGGATTGCACCAGGAGCTGTAGATCTGATACTAGAATCAAGGGCAGACCGTCAGCTGGCGTCAACTGTCGCTGCCCCAGCACCAGCAACCTGCGAGGTGAGGATCAGGGCCTCTACTGAGCAAATACACAGAACAGTTTGATGGCTTCACCTTACTGTATCTCCTTGAAAAAGTTTCCTAAACTAGCCAAAGCCTGTCTTCTTTTCCCATTCTATTCTTTGAACTATTGAAATATTTTGAATATTTCTGAATATTCAATAGAATAGTTAACCCTTACGTAAATTTAAAGCTGAAATATAGTATCCAAAGTAAAATATCAGTCAGAGGTTTACTGCTAAGTAAACAGTCTCATCTTTTTGTTGGAAATTCCGGCTCACCAGCTGCAGTATTTTTTTTATTAAAATAAGAGCTCAATATTTTAATTTCTTTTTTTCTTTTTACCTGATCACCACGCTTAAGTCCAGCTTCTGCTGCTTTACTGCCCATTTCCACAGTCTCTACAAAAATACCAAAACCTTTATCACTTCCTCCAAGGAGGCTGAAAAAGAGTGGCGAGTCTCTGGAAGGTTTTTGCAGGGTAATTTGTCTCCATTTTGCTTTGGCAGCACAAGCAATATTCAGCAATCTGAGATGGCCTTTCATTTTCTGTAACCCAGAAGACACACAAAATGAATGTAACGCTCCTTTTACTAGAAATGGAAAAACAGGGAGAGGAAGAAAGGGTGACAGGAAAAGATCTTATGATCCCAAGTATCTAAATCCTACTAAATAAACCTTGTCCCCTTCTGCAGTAATACCAAGACACGCAAACGAGTGCCACATGTGCCACTTTACATGGGGTTTGTATCGAACGTGCATTTTAGAACAAATATAACCATACAATAAGTCACCTGCAAACGGCTATTTTATAGACTACAGCATTTTAGTCACTTGTAATGCAGGAGTTATAAATAAAAATGCCTGGCAGCACCACGCCGGTCAGTCTTTTGGGGTCTCACCGTATTTTCTAAGTTTTTTTCAAATTCTTCCAGAAATCGTGTCATTGCAGGATCTCCTTCAAAGTCATTAAAATGGTTGTTCACCCACAATAAGACCACTCTGGTAACCTGTGAAAAAAAGATTTATATAAAGATAGCTGTGTTTTTTCTTCTTTATGTTTTAATCTATAAGTAAATGAAAGAATATGACAAAATGCTGTTTGCCACAGATGAATCTGTTCAATGAGCAATAACCATCATCCTGTTCTTTTTCTGGATTAAGGCTCCAGCCTTTCAAATTTATCAGAGTAAGTCATTTATACTTGAAACAGACTTTTTGTCTTTCACTATAATTGGAGTTTAATGAATTATAAAAACACAATAATAACAAGACGACATTGGTCTCATCACCTGGTACCTCCAGGTGCACAAATCTATCAGTTATCTTTTCCTTCACGTCATTTATTAAATGCATCTTTTTAAAGTGTCTCAAAGGTATAAGGGATATAGACTTAAGGAAACTTCTAGGAAATATATTGTGATAATAAAAATTATCTTGTAAGCCAGTTAAATTTTCTGGCTGCCTTCGTATGGGCTCCAGAATTACTTTACCATTCATAATAAAGGCAGTCTGCCAGCTGCTCTATCCATCCATGTTATACAAAAATGCTTATCTATAGCAGTTTCTCTCTTCTAAAAATAACTCCAGTTTTATTTGCCAAGACAGATTTTTTTTTCCCTTCCCTTTCTTCCTTGCATACAAAAGTGCTGAACTTCAACTTGTTAAAAATATTATCCAATAAACCACTAATCACCTGGGTGGAAATAAAGGTGTCTCATAGCTAAGATGCTAAAAAACAGTGCTAAATAGCCAATTTTATGCAAAGAAAGCAAATGTCTTCAAAAGCACTTGAGTTTTTAGATCTCCCTACTGGTAAATTATTGATTTAAATCATTTAGAATTTAAATAGAAACGCTTTACCTGGAACTACACCATCTTTTCTAGCTTAAGAATATGAGAAATTAGAATACTAGAAGAAAGCTGTAGATGCTTAAATAGGAGAATATTCTTAAATAAGAATCAGAGAAGCAGTAACTATAAGGCCCCAGACAATTTTCAGTGCATTAATCGCTATGATAGTCCTTTGGGTTTCCTTCAGCTCAAAGCTAGAACACACAAAACTGCTGGCTAACAGCTTTACTGCCATATTTCTTAACAGTTTTTATGTGGGTGGAGTTCCAAACCATGAACACTTTCCCTGTGTGTGCACACACTTGCACAGAGCTTAACCTGGCCCTGCTTACATGAGATTTTTTTTTTATCAATTGCACCTGCCTTGAGCACAGTTTAGTTCAAACACAGTTTGCAAAAAGAAGCTCAAGTGAAGTGTGCTCAATGCACTGAAAATCGTTAGCGAAGAAAATTATGCAAGACAAACACCACGGTGCTGTGAGAACAAAGCTGAAATGCCTGAGAAGTCACACTTAATTCCTCTGAATTTCTGGCAAAAAAGGAGTTCAGAGACTGGCATTTGCGTTTTAAAATTAAATGCAAAAACATTTTGGAGAAGAGGAGCAGTGACATAATTTTGAACAATATGCTATATGCGTACGACAACATGAAGGAACATTTCTTTATACTACAGAAAAATACTGTGCTTAAAAATGAATCAAAACAGCTGCAGTATAATTTTAGTTTATATTCTTATATATATATATTATATATACGCACACACACACACACACACAGAGGCACAGAGACACAGACAAATAAACAGAGAGACTTTGTCACTTCAAACTACTAATCTCTCAGTTTGATACAAACCTTATCCCTGAGGCTGTCCACTTTGAACCACTCCAGGAGCTTATTGCCAACTTCTAAGGGGCTTGTTAGAAAAGTTCTGTACGTTAAAAGGAAATCTTCTATGTAGGTGGGATCCACAATAGAATGTTCTTCTATTAAATGCATGATGAGTCGCTCAGGTGTTGCCTTAAAAAATTAAATGCAAGTAGTGATTGACATTTCCTACTGCAGATTTGCTCAAATATAAGCACTAAACCATGAAGAGCACATTCTCTTTTCAAGTTTCAGTTATGGTAAATTCAGAAAGAAAAATACAAAGATTTTTAAGTTACATGGGTAATATCTGGCTAGAAAAATTAGTAACGTTCCATAATTTTAATTAAATGGCTAACTTTCTTTTCAGATTCAGGAGGTGCATGAGGTGCTCTCTAAGTAAAACCTAAATACCTGTGCTGAACAGATCCTGCTCTATTAAAGGGACGATATAACTTTATTTATATAATAATATAAACTCCTTTCAATCAAATCTATTGCGCTAAGATTGACAGAACTGAACAAGTGTTCCAAATTCAACCCCCAAAATTATTATTTTTTAATTAATAACTAAAGGTTTAATAGACGAATGGAAAATTAAGCAAAGAAAGAAAATCACCTTGATAACTATGTGTCCTTTCCTGGTGCCGCTGCGATCCAGCTCCCTGTGTTCCTTCACCATAACAATTTCTCCTTCCTCCTCCACTTTATGAGTGTTTTTTTCCACGTGGTTCAGAATCCTCCAGTAGTCTTGCTGGGCTATACATACAAACTGCCCCCCACAACACGGCATCATTAATAAATACCCAAAACATAAATATATCCCTGCACCTCCTCTCTGGGATGCTTCAACACCATCACAGTAGCAGTTGAGAGCAAGCCCAGGCTCTTCTGGCCAACTACCAAAGCAAACATTACGAACAGAAGACAAATTGAGCTGATCACCATCTTCTTTCACTATATGGGCTACGCATATGGAAAACAAAGTCTGTAAATAGAGAATCTCCATCTCCACTGTGTAACTACTCCTGCATGTCACGCGTGCTTACAGAGCATCACTAGGGTTGACTCTGAGCTTATGCTTCAGCACAGAGCAGAAGTTCCTCTTTCTCAGGAACAGCTACTAAAACAGTGTGCAACTAATTCAGCACTAATTCAATGTCAGCAGAGCTTCTTGTCCACCAAATGGCAGCTTCTTTTTTTCTGCTCCTACCATAAAGATCATGCCTTAAGATGAGAGTGTCCTGGTTTCTTTTATAAGAGGCTTAAAAATGAGATAGTTATATCAAACTGTAGTCTAAAAATATATGAAATGATTACCTGACAATCATCAACTTTGGTTCTAACCATGCCATTCATGTACTGCTTGTCCAGAGACGGAGTAATCCCGAAACTATTGCCCATACAGAGGCTCTCGCTTTTCCCATCAGGATAACTGATTTCCACTGTGCCATTTAAAATAACATACCAAGAATCGAGCTAGAGGGAACAGAAATAAAGTGTGAGGTTCATCCAACAATGTTTACACACTCTCCACATTTCAATGCCCTTCTCCGAGAGGCTTATCCTCACGGCCTCAGGTTTGTTGGCATCACAGCACATAAATATTTTGCAGTATCTACTTTGTTAACGGGCGCAGAGCAAGGCAAGCAATAAAGATGACTGCAACAAGAACAAATTCAACTCCCCAGTACTAATTTGTAGGGAGTAAGGCTGATAAATGGATTGTTTTTGAAACAGTTGGATTAATCACAACAAAATATTTATACTGCTTAGTATAAATATTCAGGGTAAGAAAAGAAGATTTCTCTGATTTTTCAGGACAACTTTTTGAGAGTCCCCCACCCCCAAGTGCCCCTGTGGACCTGCTGCCTGTGGTGCCCGAATTACGTTGCGCGCGGTACTTACTTCTTGCCCATCTTCCAGTATGATGGCTCCTGCCTGCTCTACCACTTCAAATATCATCACAGAGCAAAGTTCTCTTCTTACAGACATAGTCATGTTTGCAAAGGCGGGGAGCTGGTGCATAAATTCCAATAATTGCTCTGTTGGATAAAAGAAACACAGCTATGAAGCCTGCAAGGCCTGGGGCCTCCTCACGCCCTTACCCTGACAATTTGATTAAACATACACTCAATTTAACGTACCTCAACAGGTATATTAAACCTCATAGCTACGTTCACTGAAAGAATTGCTCAGCTGCTATTACTACCTGTGGCTAAATAAGCCCAGGAGGCACCTTATCCAGTGATGGGAGCTCAGCCCTCTGTCCTGATCGTGCTGGCACTGACTATGATGGCAGCAATTTAGCTAACTGTAAAAGCACTTTGACTTCAAACATTCGGAAGAATTAAAAATATCCTTACTATACGGTTAATTATAAGCTTGTTAATAGCACGAAATGATTTTCCAACATTTAGAGAAGTAATCAGAGAAGAAAAAGTACAGCACAGCCAAATTTACCGCTAAGCTAATACCACTTCCTGGTTGAACTTTGTGGCAATTTTTTTCCATATTAGATCTTTTGCAGTTTAAAATTAAGCATGCCTGAACTGCAGTATTAGTATGTTCCCTTTGATACTGCATAACAAATTCATCAGTTCCAGGTAGTCAAAATCACCTTGGTACTAATTCCACCCTTTTCTCAATAGATAGGACCACTGCAGTACTTCACATCTTAAGACATCTCAATATCGCAAATGCTGTTTATTTAAAAATTACTTTGCTTATCCATACAAAACTTCTCCTAGGTATTGGAAGAAAATCATCAATTAACAATATCATTAGAGAAAAACGTTCCGTAGAAGCAATCATTTATAATTATGAGGACATACACTTAACACTATGGATTAAACAAATTTAAACAGACTTCTCTTATTGGTGTTACCATATACAGTTTCATATGGAGATTTTTTTTTCCCTCACCAATATCATCATCTGTTTTATCTGCAGGCTCTTTCTCAAGGCACTCTCGCACAACATCTCGCCCGAGAAGGGGGTCTGAAGTTCTGTCAATATCTTCATCTTCTTCTTCTTCTTCATCTTCAGAGTCTACAGGTGCTTCTGGAAGACCTGTTAAATCAACATCTCCCATCTCACTTTCTGTAGCCTATGGAGAAGACATCCAGCAGACAAAGAGTTCAATGCCACTACTTTCACTATTTATAGACTTATCTTAGGCATCTATACTAAATTCTATAGTTAAAGGAAGGCTATCTTAAATACAAAACCATTGGCATAAAATAACATCATGCTACATGAATTACAATCATCACTTCTGAAAACAGAATTAGCATATTAGGCCATTTGTTCTCCATCTTTATTTATTTTTATATCTAATTCTCTTTCCCCTCTGGCTCCACTGAACTAGAAGCTTCATAATCCCATTAATATTAACAGTGTGACAATGAGGAAAAGTAACCAGAACGAATAACTAAAATTAAAGGGATTTGCTCTTGCCTTCAATTTCAGTACTATTATATGTCAGAATTATAATGCATGTTACAGGTACACGGGTTGAATAGATAGATCTGAGAAAAGGAGATGAAGGCGACTGCTTTTTCCACTTTGGGCCAATTCCCTGCCTGTAAGGTTTAGTCTTTCTTGTGAATTCCCATGAACAAAAGTTTTTCAAAATTTAAGAATTTAAGAGTAAATACTATCACTAACTTAAAAAAAAAAAAAAAAAAGGAAAAAAAAATCACCTAGTTCAATAACTACATTGGCTACCCAACGTCCGTTGAAATATTTCTACTGTCATCAATAGATGGCAATAGAGATAGCACGCTGAAAGGACATGTTAAGGCAATGGAAAACACAATCACACAAAAGTCATTTAAACTTTACATGTTTCAACTGCATGAAAGTAACTTTCTAAATAGATGGAAGGAAAAGAAAAAATAAAAAAGTACTTTCAGTTTTTCAGGCTCTACAGAGCATTCCCTTAATCATTTCTTTTTAATTTAAGCCAGCATGCAAATGACTTTTCTCTTTGGCTTATACTTTTGGGATTTGAACAACAAGATGTGCCAGGGTAAAGTATAAGACAGTGATGGAGACGTGCACCAAAATGCATGATTTTCAAAGAGAAGGAAAAATAAAAGCCCTGCAGTATTTGCTCCTACAAAACCACGACAAACCCTCAGGATGTTCGGAGGATAAATCCATGCATCACCCTCCAAGTCCACAGGCCTCGCAATCAAGGCCGGGGTTTGGAAAAGGCCCAGTCCCATGAGCAATAGTGAAATTTCCATCACTAGATCACCAAACACTCCTCTAACTTGCTTGTCACCGTGGCAGTTCTGATGTGCTTCCGGCAGCAAGGGCTAAGCCTCTGTGCTTTATTTATTCTCATTATCCATTAATAACAATTATTTATTTTTTATTCTGTTAAGGATAATCCTTTCAAATAAAAATCCAAAATATCCATTTTATTGAATAACAAAACCCCATAACGAGGTCAGACGAAGCCATAATGAACAGCAGCAAATACAATGACTTTAATAGAGATGAAAGTACTAGATGTTAACACAGCAGTAATCCTAGCAACTGCATTTTTGCACTAAATTAATAGAAACCCTATTCTAATTTTCTATACATGAACTCCCACTGGCATTGGCAGAAATTGTGAAGTTGTGAATAATTTTTTTTAATGCAGTAAATTACATCGTTTTATTAAAAAAGAAAAAAGCACAAATGGAGAAAGTATCACTGCAAGGAAGCAGTGCTGCCCTGGACCAGGGCTCCACCAGGTACAAATAATTAACCACTGCAAACCTCGGCCATGGCTGAATATTAAAGTAGTAAATAAAAAATCAGAAGGGTTATTTTGCTCTTCCTATGCTCCAAGTGTTTCAACTAGATCAGTAACTCGATGCAATTATCGAGCGGGTATTTGCCTGCAGTTTGGAGCAATCTGACCATAAGCTGCTAACTGGTTTAGAGGACACAGTTACATCATAGGAAACACCAATTTTCAGTGATTTAATCACAGCAGACTGTGCTGTCTCCCTATTCCCACACACTTCAAGCTGATCTGCTAATGCAGCTCTCAATACTTTGACAGATTCAGCAGCATTTCTTTCTTTCTTTCACCAGCCAGAAAAACATTGGTTTTTACATGAAACCTTGGACCTTCCAGCTTGTCTTCATTTTAATAATTATCCATTAAATCTGAGAAAGAAGGCTCCATTGATTTAACAAGTGTTTTCTTCCAAGGAGGGTAACAATATACAGGGTTAAATCCTTTCACATTACATCACTTCACTGGCTTATGTAGCTCACATCAACAGCTCTGGAATTAAGCCCAAGTGCAAATTGTGCTTGGAGAGTCTCAGCAGCACATGATCAGCACAGCATTTTATTCAAGGACTTTTCTAGCATTTCTTCATCAAAACAGCCACGATTCCCACTAGCTTCCGCAGGCAGCATTAGCCTGAGCACTGCACTAATTCCCACTAGGCAACCCCAAGCGAAGGCACTGGGCTTCTACAGAAAAGTGATTTTACCCCACAATTTCCCTGTGTATGTTACACAGGATGATAAGTCAACCTCCTCTTTTCCTCCTTTTCAAGCTACTTCAAGGACACGAGACCACAGGAAACCAGCACTTTCCTGCCTGCTGGCCGGGCACGGATAACGCAGCTGATTCCACGAAAACCACTGGCAAGATGGGATCAACATCCCCCTGTCCGTCCTTGCCAGCACTGCAGCCCTCCATGACCCACTAATCTACACCCGATTTCAAACAGACCCAAAAACCTTTAATAAGGTGCACTCCCTGACGCATATTTTATAGATAATCCATTTCAGTATCAAAATCTTAACCACAACCAGACTTTTTGCTATGTAACGATGTTGTTGCCCACAAAGGGTATCTGTGACCAAAGTGATAAACGAAAGATGGCAAAAAACAAACAAACAAACAAACAAACAACAACAAAAAAAACATCAAGGAGAGCACTGGCAAAACTGTACAGGTAAAAAAATAAATGAGAATGTGTCAGTCCATAAGAGAACGGCAGCTGAGGAAGGACTGACAATGGGCTGGTGGAGACGGCTTAATTCGTTCAACTCCGGAGGAGCAGGGACAGGTCCTTTCTCTATGTAATACTTTTTGAATCATTTTCCCCTGAAGATATCTGTTACATGGCACGGGAGCAGGGTGCACAAGTTGTAATCCCTCACTTCAACCATTACTTGCAACCACATAGCTGCCCCTATTTCTGTCTGAACACTAGAGCTCAGCACTGAGTGTATTTTAAGAAAGAGGTTGCAAGCAACCTGCTGTGATAGGATCCAAGATAACCAGCCACCGCATGCAAATTAAATAAGTTGTTTAAAATTTAAAATAAATACAATATGTACAATTTAATTAATTTCAAATTGGACATACCATATTTCAGTTTTAAAATAAATAAATTACAATGAGGATGTCCAGAAGTTTCACTACAGAGAGACTGAAAGCTCCACCAGCTGCAGCAGTAGTGGGGAAGAAGATACCTTCATTCATCTGTTTCCATTGGTTTGCTCAATTAAGTCATGTTTTAATATAATATGTGCAGAGCAGTGCTTAAGGCAGTCGTCATTTTCTGCTGATCTCACCTTGTGCTTTATGGTCATTTCCTGCTTAGCAGCCTGGACCGCAAAGCAGCTGCTGCAACTGAAACCACATTTCAGTAGTGCTGAGGAGCACAGTGTATAGGGATGAACAGAAATTCTTCAAATTTTAACTAAAAATAATGTTTTTTTTAAAAAAAATCTGCCATTCTAACCGTATTTTCTCATTTCTGAGGTCACATTTGCACTACTTACTGCACACATTAATGTAAAGATATTGTTAATTCAAAAAAATCATTTCAAGTCTGCATTAATCATAAAATTATTCAAAAATACTTTTCCTTTGCCAACTGTAGTGATACATCTACAGAATTTGTCAGGTAAGAAGTATGAAGATGACTACCAAAAGCAAAGCATCATTTTCCAAATATTTTATGAAAAGTTGCATTTTAAGGCACCAGAAACATTTCCCAATACCAAGCCAATGCACTCTGTTTAAAAGATATTCCTACTCATTACCACACAGCTTCTCTATCTTCTTAATATAATTAGGAATTCTGGGGGAAAACATCCCTTTTATTCTTTCAAAACTGGCGTCTACTGATGCATCAGGGCACACGTGTTATCTGAAATACCACACCAGGACATTATGAAGCCATATGCATCAATGTACTTAAAACCGGATAGCAATTATGGCAATGAACCTCATAAAGAAACCCAGCATCTCTTCCTAAGTTAGTACTGCACATTAAGCGAAGAAGGGCTAGACATGAAAAAATACACTGAAAAAATAAGGGAGAAAAAAACATCAGGGGCTTTTTATGCATTTATTTAGTGCTTGTTGCATCTGCTTCTTCATCCGTTGAGTTCATCAAATGTTTGACTCTTCACGACATCCTACACTGCTGATCCACCTTTGAAGATTTCCAAATTGTGACATTTCCACGTTTTCCCATTTTTCCGAATTCTCCAATTTGTGACTGACAGAGTCGAACCCGGCCCTGGCCGCCCAGGGACCCCCAGCCCCGTCGAGGCCGCGGGGCCGGTGTCACCGAGAGGCAGCTCCTCCCTGCACAGCCCTCCCTGTGCACGGTTAATGGCAGCGCACGCTTGTTTTTACACTAATAAATTATTAATTCCTCCAAGGATACACAGCACATTTCCCCACTGTTTGCGGGGCCACTCAGTTGTTTAATGTGCTGCTCCATTATTTCTTCTATTCACATAATTCTTATTTGTTTAACCTCAGCTACACTCTTTTGGCATCTTCTGAAGAGCAGGCACATAACATTTCGAAAATGCTAGTTAATGGTACAGGACAGAACATTGACTTATTTCTGGAATGATATTTTCTTTATCTGTATTATATTTTCAGCACTTTTCAACTCAGAACAACCTCTCCAAGTTGCACCAAGAGATGGCCAAAGGAAACTGCCTATCTGCCTCCACATATGAGATGCAAAGGGCCAGCACCCAGACTAGTTCTGCTGGCTCTGTTTTCCATTGCCAAGGAAAAATTGCCAAGGAAAAATAAGTCTGCACTGTGCACAGTATGGCACTGAGTCCAGGAGAACTAAACCCCTTCTGTCTGCAAGGCTGATGCTGCCCCCTTACCTGATAGATGTCGGAGAGGCTGCTGCTCCCCGAGTCGCTGGCGATGCTGCAGCCCGACTGGCTCGAGGGCACGTGGGTGACCTGCGGGTGCGGGTTGTCCGTAAGGTGCATCTTGGTGAGATCCGCCGGCAGCTGCAAGGGATTTGGGGAAAGGGAGGAAAAATAAACGTTACATATAAAAAAGTGCGAGTCAGTAGCACACTTGTGAAGAATCAAGAGCCACATGAAATACTAGAGAATAACCAGGCCTCTAATTCGGCAGTTCATTTATTTTGTCATGCATATTTCCAGAATTGTTTAGATTTACACTCTGTTGCACAAAAAAAAAAAAAATCAAAAAACATAATTATTTAAAAAATTTTTTCTTTAAAAAGTGTTGTGACATAGGAGAAAAAAATCCCAAGTCACTTTGACGGCACCAAGCTATGGGCAAAACAAGAAGTAGGTTTCTGTTGCAAGACAGAAAAACTCCAAACAAAAGTGCCCACCCTAGACCTAATATTCAGTCCTATTAACTAAAAGCTAGCATTGTGCATATGGGAATAGTCCAAGGTGAATTTTGCAAATACTAGCTTACAAGAAGTGGGCAGCAGTGCTTGGAATCCCGCCTGTGATGTCCGTTATTCAACTGGACACAAGCGCTAAGTACGTGACCACCAGCTCCGTGAGATCGTAGCTGCTGCTGGTCCCTCCGGGAGGGCCTGCTGACACATCCAGTATTTGTGTGTCCAAAACAGCTTTAGGAGCCCGGGGGCTACTGCAACACCTCAAGTCCTACTTCTATGCCTTTAATCCAACACGGACTCCACAACAGCCAAACCCAACCGCTTCCAAGGGCTTCCCAGGAGGACAACTCTGCACCTCCTTCCAGTCGGGAGTTAGCATCGCGCTATTCCCCTCTATTTGGAAAGGATTTGCTTGGCAGGATTTGTTTTTAACTGAAAAGCAGCAGATTGTTGAAGTCTGGCCAAACTCCCAGCACCCCCACCTGAAGAGCAGCTATAAAACCATGAACCCGCTCGGCGTGCAGAGGAAAGGCTTTGAAGACCACGGTTAGGTCTGGGAATGTCGCGCAGGGCGAGATCGATTTCCTGCGCTGGAGCCGGGCGCGAAGGCCACGGCGCAGAGCTGGTGGGAGCGGGCAGTGGGTCCTGCAGTATGTGCTGTAAAAGACACTTTGCACAGGTTATGCTCAAGGAAACGGCGCGATCTGGCTCTGAGTTTGAGCGAGATAAAAGCTCTAGCTGAGACAAGTGACCTTTAGAGCGCTGATGCTGCTCTACTCAGTCTGCCCAAATAAATCACCACTTCTGGCTCCTGGGTGTCACTTTTATTACCCAGAGTGATAGTTCTCCTCCTCTCAGAGCTCGCTAAGCAGCGATCCATGGGCAGAGTGTTTTGTGGATGCAGGAATCCAGCAGGACTTGGTGGATGCGTTAATGAAGTTGCTGAAAGTGTCCAAGCTCCCGGCAAAAACAGTCACTCCTTACCAGACTAGGAGTTTCAGTGACAGAAACTTAGAAATCTTGGAACTTAGTATCTTGAAAAATCACACATTAAAGAAGCAGGTCCAAAATAGGGATGCTCACCCGTGTGTCCACACCACAAACTTTTTGGATGGAGACATTAGCATCTGCTCCTGTTGTGACTAGTGAGGTGCCCTAGAAGCCACAGACACCAAAACCCCGAATATCCATGAAATTCTGGTACAGAGTCATACAAAAATGGACTATTTGTGTATCACTTCAAGCAATAATAATATTGGTTTTTAGAACAAGTCACAATCTGGAATAAAAGTATGATGGCATCTGACTTCCCGAAATACCCAGGCCTTCATTTGCTCACATGCACATGCTTGTTAATGACCTTTTCTATCAAACAGAAACCCCTCCGAAATGCCAGATTGTGCTTCAGAGCTGTACATGAGAGGAGGCCAAGGACGGAGCCAGCACGGCCCCTCCACCTGCCTCCCACGGCGCTCGGAGCCGCCCATCGCTCCCGGGAAATGCGTCTCCCTGGAGCTTGTCCCAGCGGGAAGGTCGCTGTGCTTGGCCACGCGGTCCCCGAAGTGACAGCAGCCTGGCCCTCCTTGCAGGGAACATATGCAGGCGAGCGGCGCACATGGTGCTCGCAGACGAGCGCCCGGCAGCTCCAGGGCTGGCAGAGACCTCATGGAAACCGGGAATAAAAGCGGCACGTGCAAAATGCCGAGCTCCCCGCACAGCTACCTTGAAAGGGCCCACGACGGGAAGATGCCCCAAGGGCCAGCAGGAGTCTGGCTTTTGCCATCAGCTTCCTGCAGGCAGCGGTCGAGTGCTAAAGCAACGGCAGCAGCGCTCTCTGTTAGCAAAAGTTTTTATGACCAACTGAAAAATGGTTAAAACGGGAAAGAATTACCAAAGAGAAAGCTGAGTGATGCGGCATAAAAGTTGTAAATGGGGCTCTGAATGCAAACAAACTGCAGTCTAACAGCAAATAAATTTGTCAAATTCATAAACCCAATACTCTGTTCAAAAAAATCATTGATTTTCTAATTAACCATTCAAAACATGTGCTGTATTTCAATTATTTATGGCAAATAGTCTGAGTGAGAAAAAGAAATTCGGGAATGGCATGGAGCAAGGGAGCAGCAGCAACTCGGGAGCACTCGTGAACACCCCAGGTTTGGGAGTCCAACTACCCCCCTGAGCTCCCTTTTTGCTTTCCCAACAAGCTAAACTTGCAAAGGATATTTGCTTTTTTTCCCCTCCTCTAAACAGAGAATCAGGACATCTTAGTCTAATATAGAATTACAGCTTTCTAAAACTAGTTTGCTAGCAAGGGCAGACCAATGACACGACTGCGGACGAGTTTTTGGGTTCCCGGCCAAGAGACGGATGCGCTGGTGCAAATGCACCCAGAGGGCCCTGCACCTGCAAACGGAGCTAGCAGCATTTCACTCAATGTAGAAACATGTCTAGAGCAGCATCCAGACACCAAAAATCACTTGCAACTTTCATCTTCCCTTCTTTGTCACAGGGTATCAACCAAGGTTTCACTGGCTGTGTTTTACCAAGAGGCATTTGCAGTATTACAGGGGTAAAATAAAGCAGGGAGAAGCAAAGTAACACAAGGACACTACTCACTGCTACTAAAATTCCTAAAGAAGTGATGCTGCTCCCCTCAAACATAAAAATCTTCAGGCTTACCCTCAAAATCTAACAGCCACTCACAAATATCTATATAGACCCATATACACACACAGAGACAGAACAAGGAAGCAAATGTCAGTCTACGAGAAAGACTAATCTATTCAGTAGTCTTGGCTTTCTTCAGCTTTGTGATGGCTCTTTGCATAATCAGTGGCATCCAAAATGTTTTTCTTGTCATGGGAAAGTGGATGTTTCTGGTCTTACCATTAAAGGAATTAATTTCCATCTCATCTCCGAGTGGAGACATTTCACGGCATGGTGGCATTTGCGAGGTACACGAAGGGAGCCCTTCCTCTAAATTATTCATTTAGCCATATGTGCTCTTCAGCTACAGTGCTTAGCATAAAACAAACATTTGTCACCATAGGAAGAAGAAAAACTATTAGTAATATATGCATACATGTATGTATTGTAAAAAATGCTCTATTATTTTAAAAGGATACTTAAAAGGCTAAGATATTAATTAAAAATGACAGTGTACGAACACCCTACCTTTAGCCTGCATCTGTTAATGTCTCTTCCCAGCACAAATTTCTTGACAGAAAGTCTGAATCACATGGAAATGTCCCCAAAAGACATAAGATTCTCCTACTGTTCTCAGTCCCTTCTTATTATCCCTTCACTTGGGCTTGCATGCAAGAAAACCATGCAAGAACATGCATCTTTTCATCTAAAATTATCTCGAGGGCAATAATTCTGCTTGCAGGTTTTACCACAGTAGCACAGCAGTCAGCTACCCTATGTTTCATTTAAGATTAGGCACATTTGCACATTTAAGGCATCGCTTTGTGCATCTTTCTGAGAAGTTTATTAAACTCACTTTAGCAAAGGAAAGGAGTAACAACAATTCCAATGATTCAAAAAAATATTAAGCAAGCATGCGCTTTAATCATTATTTATATATAGCAAAATATTGCTTCTTTATTTCTAGTTCAACATCCATGAATGATATGACACTAAAATGACCCATATTCTAAAAGAAAAATATGGTTGAACTGCAATCCACAATCCCAGATTGTGGAAAAATCGGGAAAAAAAAGCTAAGGAGTCATGGCAATCCTGTCTTGTAAAGGGAGAGCAGCGATTAATTCTGACATCAGCGATACTGCCCAAGCTGTAATAGAGCCTTGATTTCTCTCAAGGCACGAAGGAGGCTGCGCTGTGGTGGAACCCGAGCCACCCGCACCGTGACCAGGAGCGCCAGGTTTACTCTGTTTGCTCAGTTTTCTGTGCGAGGATGAGGATGATGAGGATGCGAAGGGCAGAAAGGGGCCCCGCGTGGCAGCCCAGCGCGTTTCCCGCTGGGCAGCGGGCAGGTGAGAGCCGCGGAGCTCCCCGGGATCACATCCCTCCAGCAGCGCCTCAGGACCCCGGCGACTGCCCTGACCTTCCCAAAGCAGGAATTGCCACCTCGCTTCGAGCTCCCCGGTCTCATGGATTGAATTGCATCTCTCAACCTCATTCAAAAGTGTCTAATTTTCTTGCAGGCGCCAGGCTTGGTGGGGGGGTCTGATAATCAAAGCTGCTAGCGAGATATCAAGAACTGTCTGCATGGAGACTGCCCAACTCGCATTCATTTTCCAGCGTTAATAATTAAAAATTATCTAATAACTCCTTTAACTCTGCATTTGTATTCATATCTATACCTACGGCTACACACGCTCTACAGGAAGAGATTTGCCAGCTCTAAGTGTTATGTTTTTACTTTTGAAATTAATTGCCGTGATGAGGCCTATAGCGCAGGCTGAGGCGACGTCCGCGGGCCAGGGCCGAGGGCGGCGGTGACGGCGACTGCTCCCACCACCACAGGTTATAACTTGGCTCTCTGCGTTTGCGCAGGGAGGGAGGAAAGAGAACTTTTCCTACTGCTCTTGGGATAACCTTAAGACACACGCTGGAAAACAGGAAAAGCGAATACAATACGAATTAAGCAAAACCGCC